CCTCAACAACCCTTCCTCAGCCCTCTGGACAACAGTTTTGGTAATCCCGCACCTCCTCCTAACTTCCAAACTACGAATTCTCTGCATTATATTCACACCACACATTGCCCTCAGACATGACATCTCCACTGCCTCCAGCCTTCTCCTCGCTGCAACATTCATCACCCATGCTTCACACCCATATAACAGTGTTGGTAAAACTATACTCTCATACATTCCCCTCTTTGCCTCCAAGGACAAAGTTCTTTGTCTCCACAGACTCCTAAGTGCACCACTCACCCTTTTCCCCTCATCAATTCTATGATTCACCTCATCTTTCATAGACCCATCCGCTGACACGTCCACTCCCAAATATCTGAATACATTCACCTCCCCCATACTCTCTCCCTCCAATCTGATATCCAATCTTTCATCACCTAATATTTTTGTTATCCTCATAACCTTACTCTTTCCTGTATTCACTTTTAATTTTCTTCTTTTGCACACCCTACCAAATTCATCCACCAATCTCTGCAACTTCTCTTCAGAATCTCCCAAGAGCACAGTGTCATCAGCAAAGAGCAACTGTGACAACTCCCACTTTATGTGTGATTCTTTATCTTTTAACTCCACGCCTCTTGTCAAGACCCTCGCATTTACTTTTCTTACAACCCCATCTATAAATATATTAAACAACCACGGTGACATCACACATCCTTGTCTAAGGCCTACTTTTACTGGGAAATAATTTCCCTCTTTCCTATGTACTCTAACTTGAGCCTCACTATCCTCGTAAAAACTCTTCACTGCTTTCAGTAACCTACCTCCTACACCATACACCTGCAACATCTGCCATATTGCCCCCCTATCCACCCTGTCATATGCCTTTTCCAAATCCATAAATGCCACAAAGACCTCTTTAGCCTTATCTAAATACTGTTCACTTATATGTTTCACTGTAAACACCTGGTCCATACACCCCCTACCTTTCCTAAAGCCTCCTTGTTCATCTGCTATCCTATTCTCCGTCTTACTCTTAATTCTTTCAATAATAACTCTACCATACACTTTACCAGGTACAGTGGACCCCCGCATAGCGATATTAATCCGTGCAAGAGAGCTCATTGTTATGCGAAATTATCGTTATGCGAATGAATTTTCCCCATAAGAAATAATGGAAATCAAATTAATCCGTGCAAGACACCCAAAAGTATGAAAAAAAAATTTTACCACATGAAATATACATTTTCCTACACACAAAGAGAAGGATACATGCACAATAGTAGAGTAGTACATGCATAATATATATTGTGCATGTACTACTCTACTAAATGAAGAATAAATGACACTTACCTTTATTGAAGATGCAAGCAATGACTGATGAGACACTGTGTCCTGGGAGTGCCTTTTCCTCCTGAGTACTGTAGGTCCTGTTTGGCATTTTCTTCCAGAACAGGCCTTATCACACTGTGTATGCCACTACGATTCTTAAATCTCTCAAACCAACCTTTGCTGGCTTTAAATTCACCAATATGAGCACTAGTTCCAGGCATTTTTCCCTGTTCACCTGGGTGTTAGTCGACTGGTGTGGGTTGCATCCTGGGAGACAAGATTAAGGACCCCAATGGAAATAAGTTAGACAGTCTTCAATGACACTGACTTTTTTGGGTTATCCTGGGTGGCAAATCCTCTGGGGTTAATTGTTTCTTGGTATTCTCAATAAGCCACACCAACAACAGTGCTACAGCAGCAGCAGCTGACAGTGCTACAGCAGCAGCAGGAAGTGCTAAGCAAGCAGTGACTCAGCAGCAGCAAATGGTACTACAGCAGCAGCAGACGGTACTACAGCAGCAGCAGCTGACGGTGGTACAACAGCAGCAGCAGCTGACGGTGGTACAACAGCAGCAGCAGCAGCTGATGGTGGTACAACAGCAGCAGCAGCTGACAGTGCTACAGCAGCAACAGACGATGCTACAGCAGCAGCAGACGATGCTACAGCAGCAGCAGACGGTACTACAGCAACAGCAGCAGCTGACGGTGGTACAACAGCAGCAGCAGCTGACAGTGCTACAGCAGCAGCAGACGATGCTACAGCAGCAGCAGACGATGCTACAGCAGCAGTAGACAGTACTACAGCAGCAGCAGCAGCTGACGGTGGTACAACAGCAGCAGCAGCTGACAGTGCTACAGCAGCAGCAGACGGTGGTACAACAGCAGCAGCAGCTGACAGTGCTACAGCAGCAGCAGACGATGCTACAGCAGCAGCAGATGGTACTACAGCAGCAGCAGCTGACGGTGGTACAGCAGCAGCAGCTGACGGTGGTACAGCAGCAGCAGCAGCTGACGGTGGTACAGCAGCAGCAGCAGCAGCTGTACCACCAATAGTAGCGATGGTTGATTGGGGTTTATTATACAACCTGGCCAGCTTGGAGACACGCACTCCACTTTCATACTTATCAATGATCTTTTTCTTCATCTCTATAGTAATTCTCACCCTTATTGCTGTAGGGTTGGCACTAGAAGCTTTCTTGGGGCCCATGGTCACTTATTTTGCAGATAAAATCACCAAAAACACTGTAATAATACGAAATGTTCCGATTGTATGCTTGGATGTTACCGCGGAGACTGGCTGGTAAACAATGCCACCGGTGGAACATGTGAGCGTGGCTCAGGCCGCACATAGACGCGTCTCGGACGAACAGCGTTGAGCGGGTTTTTTAGTGGTATGCGAGGCAAAATCTTGGCGATAAAATGTAGCGGTATGCGGATTTAACGTTATGTAAGGCCAACGGTATGCGAGGGTCCACTGTATACTCAACAGACTTATCCCCCTATAATTTTTGCACTCTCTTTTGTCCCCTTTGCCTTTATACAAAGGAACTATGCATGCTCTCTGCCAATCCCTAGGTACCTTACCCTCTTCCATACATTTATTAAATAATTGCACCAACCACTCCAAAACTATATCCCCACCTGCTTTTAACATTTCTATCTTTATCCCATCAATCCCGGCTGCCTTACCCCCTTTCATTTTACCTACTGCCTCACGAACTTCCCCCACACTCACAACTGGCTCTTCCTCACTCCTACAAGATGTTATTCCTCCTTGCCCTATACACGAAATCACAGCTTCCCTATCTTCATCAACATTTAACAATTCCTCAAAATATTCCCTCCATCTTCCCAATACCTCTAACTCTCCATTTAATAACTCTCCTCTCCTATTTTTAACTGACAAATCCATTTGTTCTCTAGGCTTCCTTAACTTGTTAATCTCACTCCAAAACTTTTTCTTATTTTCAACAAAATTTGTTGATAACATCTCACCCACTCTCTCATTTGCTCTCTTTTTACATTGCTTCACCACTCTCTTAACCTCCCTCTTTTTCTCCATATACTCTTCCCTCCTTGCATCACTTCTACTTTGTAAAAACTTCTCATATGCTAACTTTTTCTCCCTTACTACTCTCTTTACATCATCATTCCACCAATCGCTCCTCTTCCTCCCGCACCCACTTTCCTGTAACCACAAACTTCTGCTGAACACCTAACACTACATTTTTAAACCTACCCCATACCTCTTCGATCCCATTGCCTATGCTCTCATTAGCCCATCTATCTCCAATAGCTGTTTATATCTTACCCTAACTGCCTCCTCTTTTAGTTTATAAACCTTCACCTCTCTCTTCCCTGATGCTTCTATTCTCCTTGTATCCCATCTACCTTTTACTCTCAGTGTAGCTACAACTAGAAAGTGATCTGATATATCTGTGGCCCCTCTACAAACATGTACATCCTGAAGTCTACTCAACAGTCTTTTATCTACCAATACATAATCCAACAAACTACTGTCATTTCGCCCTACATCATATCTTGTATACTTATTTATCCTCTTTTTCTTAAAATATGTATTACCTATAACTAAACCCCTTTCTATACAAAGTTCAATCAAAGGGCTCCCATTATCATTTACATCTGGCACCACAAACTTACCTACCACACCCTCTCTAAAAGTTTCTCCTACTTTAGCATTCAGGTCCCCTACCACAATTACTCTCTCACTTGGTTCAAAGGCTCCTATACATTCACTTAACATCTCCCAAAATCTCTCTCTCTCCTCTGCATTCCTCTCTTCTTCAAGTGCATACACGCTTATTATGACCCACTTCTCGCATCCAACCTTTACTTTAATCCACATAATTCTTGCATTTACACATTCATATTCTCTTTTCTCCTTCCATAACTGATCATTCAACATTACTGCTACCCTTTCCTTTGCTCTAACTCTCTCAGATACTCCAGATTTAATCCCATTTATTTCCCCCCACCGAAACTCCCCTACCCCCTTCAGCTTTGTTTCGCTTAGGGCCAAGACATCCAACTTCTTTTCATTCATAACATCAGCAATCATCTGTTTCTTGTCATCTGCACTAAATCCACGCACATTCAAGCATCCCAGTTTTATAAAGTTTTTCTTCTTCTCTTTTTTAGTAAATGTCTACAGGAGAAGGGGTTACTAGCCCATTGCTCCCGGCATTTTAGTTGCCTTATACGACACGCATGGCTTACGGAGGAAAGATTCTTTTCCACTTCCCCATGGACAATAGAAGAAATAAAGAAGAACAAGAGCTATGTAGAAAAAGGAGAAAAACCTAGATGTATGTATATATATATGCATGTGCATGTCTGTGAAGTGTGACCAAAGTGTAAGTAGGAGTAGCAAGATATCCCTGTTATCTAGCGTGTTTATGAGACAGAAAAAGACACCAGCAATCCTACCATCATGCAAAACAGTTACAGGTTTCTGTTTCACAGTCATCTGGCAGGACGGGGAAAATTAATTTGACTTAAGATAATTCTGTCTTACGATGAGCTCTATGGAACGGATTAATATCGTAAGTCGAGGGGTCCACTGTACAATACATTATTTGAATTAGTGAAGTATATGTAGCTTGGAAATATGGGATGTATTCGTTGAAGTGAAAAAATTACAATAATTATTGATAATCAATAATTTTCAGATTTAGCCAGTTGGCAAGCAGTAATTAGGTCAGAAAGAAACACAGAGGAAAGTGGTGGTCCACTACAGTCTCGTCTGCACCGACTACAGTTACTACGGCAATGGTTGTTATGCTTCTCCCGAGAGCTCCATGACCACTTTGCAAATACTGTTTTTCTACCCTATCACCATGCTGTAGAGAAGCTGTTTGCCTCTAGGCCTGCCCTCACTACTATCATAGCTGGTCAGTACAGTATATCAAATTGCTTTACTAGCAAAGATATGATTTGTCAGATATCTTTCTTCTTTCAACACACTGGCCATATCCCACCAAGGCACACTGGCCCAAAATGAAAAACAGAAGTTTCTCTTTTTAACTTAAGTAATGAAGAATTGAGACACTTATGCAACACATGGGAATCTTTATTGAAGAAACGTTTCACCACACAGTGGCTTCATCAGTCCAATACAAAGTAGAAATGGGTAAGGAGAGTAGAAGTATGAGGTAATCAGTCCCTCAACCTGGATTCGATGTGTTCAGTCCATCACTCTTGTAGTAAGTGCAGCATAGGGCCAGAGAGGTGGCTTATATACTGCGGTGAGATGAGTTGAAGCAGGAGGAGGCGGGATCTTAGTGGGACGTGCCACTAGTGTAAGTAGGTCGTCGTCCAAAGGTTGGGCAAGCGTTGAAGTCTTTGTACCAAGATTCCATGATGTTGCAGTGTCTGACAGATGTGATGAATGGTTTTGAAAACCGACAAGTTGAAGAATTGAGACACTTATGCAACTCATCTCACCGCAGTATATAAGCCACCTCTCTGGCCCTATGCTGCACTTACTACAAGAGTGATGGACTGAACACATCGAATCCAGGTTGAGGGACTGATTACCTCGTACTTCTACTCTCCTTACCCATTTCTACTTTGTATTGGACTGATGAAGCCACTGTGTGGCGAAACGTTTCTTCAATAAAGATTCCCATGTGTTGCATAAGTGTCTCAATTCTTCAACTTGTCAGTTTTCAAAACCATTCATCACAACTTAAGTAATATATACAGGAGAAAGGGTTACTAGCCCCTTGCTCCCAACATTCTAGTCGCCTCTTACAACATGCATGGCTTACAGAGGAAGAATTCTGTTTCACTTCCCCATGGATAGATATATTAATATTCACAATAAAATATCCATCTCTGGTATATTTTTCAAATGTTTTTCATTGATGTTTGCACCTCCTTGACTCCACTCATAAAAGAAATCATGTACAGTATATAATACCTTCAGTTTAGTCTCATAGCACTGTATTAACAATTGAACACCTTGAGTTGACCTTCCTTACACTTTTACCATGCTTGTTTTATTATATTTAAAACAAAGTTTCCACTATTTGCCAGAAAATGCCTATTCTTGAAAATGAGTTTTGCATTGTACTTTAGACTTTATAGCATGTATAGTGTAGGCAGTCATAAAATGAAGCCATTCATTAAAATTGGACTGTATAGTTTCTTCTTTTTCTGGTCACCCTGCTTCAGTGGGAGACAGCTGCTGTGTTAAAAAAAAAAAAATTCCCTTGTGTATTTTTTGAGCAGAAACCCAGTGAAAAGCAGGGTTGCCATAAGCACTGTTAGAGAACAATCAGTATTCGTGGCTCAAGAATCTTCAATCTTTTACCAACATATACAAGAAATATTGCTGGAACAGGGGCAACCTGGACCAATTCCTACACAATGTTACAGATCAGCCAAGTTGTGATGGCTATGTTGACCTGCAGGCAGGAGCAGCAGCAGTTGGTTGATCACACAGTTAACAGGTCATAGGTTAGGTTTTTTCTTTATGAGAGTTTATGGTTATACGGTGACGTCATCTATCAGTAATTCTCAGTGTGCAGTATAAATTCACTTTTGTGCGATCATTAAAGTCCATTTTTTTTTTTTTAATAATATCTCTTTAAATATCACTCTAAACTGGTATACAGTAGACCGTTACATTACACAGTAGTTACGTTACTGAAAACGCCGTGTTAGATAAACTGAGGAACTTAGGGGAAAAATAGGGTTACGTTTCTGGGAGCCCCAAAAAAAGCTGAACAAATTTTTTTTTTTTTTTTTTTTTTAGACCTCCAGATCTGACAAAAATAAAAGTGAATATGTAATTGTAGTTCATTGTCGTGATGTTTTATGTTGTTTTTACTGCTTAAGACTACAAATGCAACATAAATAACAGTATTTCTTGCCTTAAATTGTGGGTGCTGGTGTTTCTGGATGATTGTGAAGAGAGTGGAGAGTTGTACTGTGGTCCTACTGGTCTGAGGTGGATGGTAGAGGTTCTGGTACTGAAGTCGATGGTTGTACTGGAGTGTGCATAAATTCTGTAATGGATTTCTGTTCTATTTTACCGTACAGTACATTATACAACTGACAGTAAGGCATCAGCTGCTCTGGACACTGTTTCAGGGTCCTCTTCAGTGAAAAAGTTTAATTTTAAGTCAGTCAACTCAGTCAGTCAGTCAGTAAATCAGTCAAGTCAGTCAGTCAGTAAATCTTTCAAGTCAGTAAATCAATCAAGTCAGTCAGTAAATTAGTCAAGTCAGTAAATCAGGCAGTTATTCATCACACACTCGTATATTTACCTCATTTTTTTTTAATTGCACAGTGACGCATAGGGCCAAATGCACAGCATAGGGCCATCTACGGCCCTATGCTGTACATTCTACAAGATTGATGGACTGAACACATCGACTCAAGGCTGAGGGACTGATTACCTCAAACTCCTCCTCTCCTTATACCTTCTGCTTTGTATTGGACTGATGAAGCCACTGTGTGGCGAAATGTTTCTTCTATAAAGATTCCCGTGTGTTGCACAAGTGTCTCAATTCTTCAACTTGTCGGTTTTCAAAACCATTCACCAAACCCTTGACTGTCGCAACTCCAAATCCTGAGGTGTCTCCTGGTGTCGCAAAAATTTAAAAAATATATATATATTTTTTCTTGTGAAATGATAGAGAATCTTTTCCCGATGGTAATGACACAAAAAGTATGAAATTTGATGGAAAACTTACGGAATTACGCTCTTGCGACCTCAGCAACATTAACAAATCGGCAATTTCCCCCACTTTGAGCCCTATTTTCAGCTAATTCCATTGTTCCAGTCGACCAAACTCATAACTATTTCTTTAGAACTCCATTGGTTCTATCGATTGAGTACAAAAAACTGCCCATTTACTGATTTCAACTACCCAATAAAGTGGTCAGAAATTGGCAATTTGGCCAATTTCATGCAAATTAAAAAATATGCTAATTTCAAAATAGGGTCCAGAATGAACATTGTAGACATTCCTGGCTCTAAAATAACATTTTCTTTGTTCATCAGTCATGTCTCCAGGCCCCTCTGATATTACTCTTGCTATCTATTTTGAATTTTTATTCAAACAAAAAATAGAAGATTTACTGTTATGCAAACTACTGCAATATTGTAATAATTGTATAAATAATGTCAACCCATTCACGACTGCATATTAGAATGGCTAGTTGGACATTTATTGGATAATGACATCATTTGTTTAATTTTGAACATTGGCAAAAATCAAACATTTCCCCTACTTTGAGCTCCATTTCAAGGTTCTTTTCATAGTAAAACCAATCAAAATCACCTCTATTTCTATAAAGTGTTTTCCATTCTATCAAATGAGACCAAGGAAACGAGAATACAACCATAAATACTATACGAAAATAGACCACAAAGTCGGCGTTTCAATTAAAAAAAACAGTGAGTTTTTTTTTCTCATTATGCACTGCTTGCTGCAGGATATTTTTTATATGGTGCACACTGACCACACAGACCCATTCTCTCACATGTGGGCCTACCAGCTTTCTCTTGCTTGATTTGAAGCTGCTAGAATTTCTGAGTATATATATGTGTGTGTATATACACATATGAGTATATACACGTATGTATACGACCAAAACAGTTAAAGGGTTAAAACGTATTTCTTTTATATAAGATCATTTGGTGCATGTTTGGTGAGCTCGTATTGTTTTAGTAACATTCATTAAGATGTGTGGACTTTGCAATCTCAATATGTATTTTTGTGTTTTACCTTTTATATTGTGTTGAGTTTACACAATTTTCCTTCATGTTCCATGGGCCAGGAACACATCTGCTGAATAAAACGAAACATATCTGTGTCGGGAGCAATGGGCTAGTAACCCCTTCTCCTGTAGACATTTACTAAAAAAGAGAAGAAGAAAAACTTTATAAAACTGGGATGCTTAAATGTGCGTGGATGTAGTGCGGATGACAAGAAACAGATGATTGCTGATGTTATGAATGAAAAGAAGTTGGATGTCCTGGCTCTAAGCGAAACAAAGCTGAAGGGGGTAGGAGAGTTTCAGTGGGGGGAAATAAATGGGATTAAATCTGGAGTATCTGAGAGAGTTAGAGCAAAGGAAGGGATAGCAGTAATGTTGAATGATCAGTTATGGAAGGAGAAAAGAGAATATGAATGTGTAAATTCAAGAATTATGTGGATTAAAGTAAAGGTTGGATGCGAGAAGTGGGTCATAATAAGCGTGTATGCACCTGGAGAAGAGAGGAATGCAGAGGAGAGAGAGAGATTTTGGGAGATGTTAAGTGAATGTATAGGAGCCTTTGAACCAAGTGAGAGAGTAATTGTGGTAGGGACCTGAATGCTAAAGTAGGAGAAACTTTTAGAGAGGGTGTGGTAGGTAAGTTTGGGGTGCCAGGTGTAAATGATAATGGGAGCCCTTTGATTGAACTTTGTATAGAAAGGGGTTTAGTTATAGGTAATACATATTTTAAGAAAAAGAGGATAAATAAGTATACAAGATATGATGTAGGGCGAAATGACAGTAGTTTGTTGGATTATGTATTGGTAGATAAAAGACTGTTGAGTAGACTTCAGGATGTACATGTTTATAGAGGGGCCACAGATATATCAGACCACTTTCTAGTTGTAGCTACACTGAGAGTAAAAGGTAGATGGGATACAAGGAGAATATAAGCATCAGGGAAGAGAGAGGTGAAGGTTTATAAACTAAACGAGGAGGCAGTTAGGGTAAGATATAAACAGCTATTGGAGGATAGATGGGCTAATGAGAGCATAGGCAATGGGATCGAAGAGGTATGGGGTAGGTTTAAAAATGTAGTGTTAGTGTGTTCAGCAGAAGTTTGTTGTTACAGGAAAGTGGGTGCGGGAGGGAAGAGGAGCGATTGGTGGAATGATGATGTAAAGAGAGTAGTAAGGGAGAAAAAGTTAGCATATGAGAAGTTTTTACAAAGTAGAAGTGATGCAAGGAGGGAAGAGTATATGGAGAAAAAGAGAGAGGTTAAGAGAGTGGTGAAGCAATGTAAAAAGAGAGCAAATGAGAGAGTGGGTGAGATGTTATCAACAAATTTTGTTGAAAATAAGAAAAAGTTTTGGAGTGAGATTAACAAGTTAAGAAAGCCTAGAGAACAAATGGATTTATCAGTTAAAAATAGGAGAGGAGAGTTATTAAATGGAGAGTTAGAGATATTGGGAAGATGGAGGGAATATTTTGAGGAATTGTTAAATGTTGATGAAGATAGAGAAGCTGTGATTTCGTGTATAGGGCAAGGAGGAACAACATCTTGTAGGAGTGAGGAAGAGCCAGTTGTGAGTGTGGGGGAAGTTCATGAGGCAGTAGGTAAAATGAAAGGGGGTAAGGCAGCCGGGATTGATGGGATAAAGATAGAAATGTTAAAAGCAGGTGGGGATATAGTTTTGGAGTGGTTGGTGCAATTATTTAATAAAAGTATGGAAGAGGGTAAGGTACCTAGGGATTGGCAGAGAGCATGCATAGTTCCTTTGTATAAAGGCAAAGGGGATAAAAGAGAGTGCAAAATTATGGGGGAAAAGTCTGTTGAGTTACCTGGAAAAGTGTATGGGTAGAGTTATTATGAAAAAAATTAAGAGTAGACGGGGAATAGGATAGCGATGAACAAGGAGGCTTTAGGAAAGGTAGGGGGTGTGTGGACCAGGTGTTTGCGTGAAACTATAAGTGAAAAGTGGGATTTATGGATTTGGAAAAAGGGATATGAAGGGTGGATAGGGGGGGGAATGTGGCGAATTGCAGGTGTATGGGGGTAGGAGGTAGGTTACTGAAAGCAGTGAAAAGGTTTTTACGAGGATGTGGGCCACGTTTGAGTATGTAGGAAAAGGGGAAATTATTTTCCCGTAAAAATGGCCTTAGACAAGGATGTGTGATGTCACCGTGGTTGTTTAAAATATTTAAGATGGGTTGTAAGAGAAGTAAAAAGCGAGGGTCTTGACAAGAGGCTGGGGGGGTTAAAAGATAAAGAATCACCAAAAAATGGGTGTTGTCACAGTTGCCTTTGGGATGACACTGTGTTTGGGAGTTCTGAAGAGAAATTGCAGGATTGGTGGTGAATTTGGTTGGGTGTGCAAAAAAAGAAAATTTAAAGTGAAAACAGGAAAGAGTAAGGTTTGAGGATAACAAAAAGATTTGGGATGAAAGTTTGGATTCAGATTGGAGGGGAGAGTATGGAGGAGGTGAATGTATTCAAATTGGGAGGGGACGTGTCAGGGGGGTTTTTGGAAAGATGAGGTGAATCATAAAAATTGATGGGGGGAAAAGGGTGAGTGGTGCACTTGGGAGTCTGTGGAGACAAAGAATTTGCCCTTGGAGGCAAAGGGGGAAGTATGAGGTATAGTTTTACCAACGTCTTTTTGGGTGTAAAGCAGGGTTGATGTTGCCGAGGAGAGGCTGGAGGCAGTGGAGTGCTGTTTTTGAGAGAAATGTGTGGTGTAAATAAAATGCAGAGATTCGTTTTTTGGAAATTAGGAGGAGGTGCGGGTTACAAAACTGTTGTTCCAGAGGGTGGGGGGTTTTGTTGAGGTGGTTGGGACATGTGGAGAGAATGGAGCGAAACAGAATAACTTCAAGAGTGTATCAGTCTGTAGTGGAAGGAAGGCGGGGTAGGGGTCGGCCTAGGAAAGGTTGGAGGGAGGGGGTAAAGGAGGTTTTGTGTGCGAGGGGCTTGGACTTCCAGCAGGCATGCGTGAGCGTGTTTGATAGGAGTGAATGGAGACAAATGGTTTTTAATACTTGACGTGCTGTTGGAGTGTGAGCAAAGTAACACTTATGAAGGGGTTCAGGGAAATCGGCAGGCCAGACTTGAGTCCTGGAGATGGGAAGTACAGTGCCTGCACTCTGAAGGAGGGGTGTTAATGTTGCAGTTTAAAAACTGTAGTGTAAAGCACCCTTCTGGCAAGACAGTGATGGAGTGAATGATGGTGAAAGTTTTTCTTTTTCGGGCCACCCTGCCTTGGTGGGAATCGGCCAGTGTGATAATAAAAAAAAAATAATAATCTGTGTCGTGTGTGTTATACCATCAACAAATGAAATGAATGCATTAGGCATTAAGAAGGCTCTCAGTAGAGTTCCACTCACACAATAACAGCAATCTGAAGGCTGAAGAATGTGTTAGGAAAGGCAACCAATTACACTGGTTGAGATTTCTTGTTGGAAAGGAAAATGCTAACAGTTATATGAGGAGAATAGGGAGGTGTAAGTGTTCAGTGATTGCCTGCATAGTGTCTCTTATCCATGTAAATGACTTGCCAAAGGAAACAAAATCTACATATGAACATGTTCATAGGTGATGCAAAAACTCGCCCAGCTTTATTACTCAGAGCTTATCTGAGCGAGCTGAGCTCATGGCATAGAACTACAGCACAGACCCCGACTTTAAAACTGTAGGACAACGGCATAGACCCTTAAGTGATTAGGTGGTAAATGCAGTTTTACAACATGCCTTTCGCCAGGTGTATCAACAAGTCTTCCGTAGTGCCTAGTTTGTCCAAGACTGAGGACTCCCTCACCATCCTCACTTCAAATGTGCCTAGGGCAGTTAACATGGTTGCCACAAATGGCAAAGAATATGAACATTTACAGTGTCTAGGCATGTGAGAATGTCAACACATTAGATATTCATTAATTGCAGTTCCTAGCCTGATGGGATAGGATTAAAGCATATCAAATCATTGACTACTCGTATGTCAAGGAATGTAATATTGACATTTTGTCTCTCACAAGAGGGAAGAGAGAAATAGATGGGGGGAAAACTGGTTACCCTCATCCCCTGCCCTTTCCCTTTGCTTGGGGTGTAATGGTCCCTCACTTGCCCTTTTTCCAGAATAGTGGAGGGTATGGTGGAATCCGGTGGAATATTTTCCACCACAATACTACTGTAAGAGTGTACCAGAGTGAGAGAGATGTGAGGAAGTGTAAAATAAACCCAGTGAGAAGCAGGGTCGGGCTCGGGCACTGTATGCGAACACTGCCAGCACATCAGAAATGCTGCAGCAACAAGTGTACAAGTCTTCAGGATTAGTACCGTTGCCAAGTACTAGGTCAGTCAGGCTGTGATGAGTATATGGACCATCAGGCCACCAATAGCAGCAGCCTGGTTGACCAGGCAACCACTAGTGAAGCCTGGCCCCAGACTGGGCTACAGGAGTAGAAAAACTGTCAGAACTGGTCACAGGTATATCAAATTGAATTAACTTAAAATCATGAATCATGTTATGTATGCCATCATATAGACTGCTAAGTACTGTGGCAGTGTTGAACCATGAGGGTGTGAGTCAGCAGTGAGTAGTTTTGAACTGTGAAGGATCAGATAGTGAGTAACCTTGACCTATGAAAGTGTTGACACCTGAGTGTGTGGTGTCAATGTGCGACCTGCCACAATCTGGAATGAGGTCATTGTGTCAGTTATATAACTGGACAGTGATATTCAGTAAAACAATGTCAGATGAACAGTTACTGTTGTCACTGCTCTTCTGTGAGCTTGGTATTTTTGTGTTGATTTTTCAAGCAGTTTTGTTATTCTGTACTTTGTCTCCTCTTCAGTAAATGCTGATGTTATTATTGCTGTGTCGTTTACCATGATCCTTCTACATAATAGTAAATTAGTTGTACTATTGTTTCACAGAACACGAAACACTCGTGAATAAACTGATCACCGAATGTCTGATGAGCAGCAGTGAAAAGATACTTCCCCTGCAAATAGTACTGAATAAGGTAGGTTAATTAGTGTCTTGAATGTTATGTAATGAAGCAGTAACAATAAAACCATTGTCACTTGTCAGCACTTTTATTTGAAAGTCTACATTACTCTGAATGGTTTGTTTTCACAAAGACAATGGTCAGTACACTGTCATCACTTAATTGTAGTATTGAAGACTGAGACACTTGTGCAACATTGGCTCCAGGCTGAGGGACTAATTTCCTCAAATTCCTTATCTTCTACTATTCTTCTCTGTATTGTACCTAGGAGGCCACTAGCTGGCAAAACTTTTCCTCAGTAAAGGTTCCCAAATGTTGCACAAGTATCTCATTCTTCAACCTGTCAGTTTTCTAAACCACTGAACCTCTACTTACGAGTTTAATTCGTTCCATGACCTTGCTCGCATCTGGATTTGCTCATTTGTAGAGTCAATTTTCCTCATTTAAATTAATTGAAATGGAATTAATCTTTCCCAGTGGAATTCCAGGCATGACAAAATACTTGAATATTTCCTTGATATCAACTCTATGGCTTATTTATCTATCACAATTCATCTAATATGACATAATAAACAATATTAATAACATAGAAACATGATATATACACTAGAATGAATGAAATATCATTACATATTTGAGTAGTGGTAGTGGAGGTGGCAGCACAGCGGCCATTGTTCCTGCTCCTGACTTCATACCTTCCCCTGCTCTTATTATAACAGAAAACGGAGTGTTTGTAAGGCAAGCTTCATTAGATAACTACGTAGTTTCATGAGGAAAGCAACAATAATAATAATAATACATAAATAATAATAATACGTAATAAATAATAACAATAATAATACAGCATTTACCTTGGAGAAGAGATGCTGGCGAAGGTTGATAAGGGAGAAGAGATACTGGGCACAGTGGCGTATGCTGTCGGGAGTTCATTCGTTTCGTCCTTTTTCTGTTGTTAATTGCTACACTCTTAATGGTACACTCTTAATGGTACACTCTTAATGCTGCACTCTTAATGCTTCTCTTCTTGTTGATTCGCCGGTACTTCCGGCCCGGGTCTTTTCCAGATGGTGACCCGGCGCTCTTAATGCTCCACTCTTAATGCTGCACTCTTAATGCTACACTCTTAATGTTACACTCTTAGTTTGTGTTTATTAATGATTTCCTGCTTTAATTCCATGGAAATCATCCCCTTTTTCTTCTCAGCACTGTCCTTTGCACTTGCTTTCTTAGGACCCATGGTTAAAAACGAGAAATTCTGCAAAATAACTACACAAAACATAAGCAAATCATGAGAATTATCTCCGCCAGTTGAAGTACATGCGGACTGAGTGTTGTTTTCGTACATGTAATGCCATCTCATGGTGGTGTTCTCAAACTCACTTATACGTAGTATTATTATTGTACAGTGGAACCTCAGCTTACAAACTTAATCCATTCCGTGACCTTGTTCGTATCCTGATTTGTTCGTATGCTGAGTCAATTTTCCTCGTTTAAATTAATTGAAAAGCCATTAATCTGTTTTGGCGGAATTCCTGCTCTCAGAGGCAGGAACAGTACACTTCAATATAGCGCTAATATCAACTCTATGGTTTATTTATCTATCACAATTGATCTAATATAACATAATAAACAATATAAATAATGTAGAAACCTGATATATACAGTGGACCCCCGAGTTTCGTGATTAATCCATTCCAGAGAGTCTGCCGACTGGCGAAATTCATGATTGGCGAATCTATTTTCCCCATAAGAAATAATGGAAACCCAATTAATCCATTTCAGACAGCCAAAAGTATTAACAAAAAATAATTTTTTTAAAGATTAAATATAGATTTACATACAGAAAACAATGACAAATAAATATAAAGCATTAATAAAATGGATAAATGAACATTTAACTTCACACTTAACCTTTATTGATTCTTGTTGGTGTAGGAGGCAAGAGGAAGGCGAGTTTATTATGCTTCAATATGACGCTAATATCATCTCTACGGCTTATTTATCTATCATAATTCATCTAATATGACATTATAAACAATATTAATCCTTTCAGGGTCCCCAGGCCCTCTCCCAGACTTGTTCTCAGGGTCGCCAAATTTAAAAAAAAAAAATTATTTTTTCTTATGAAAAGATAGAGAATCTTTTCCCGGTCATAATGACACCAAAAGTATGAAATTTGATGGAAAACTTACGGAATTATGCTCTCGCGAATTTAGTGGTCTTGACGATGTTTACGCATCGGTGATTTTGCCCACTTTGAGCCCTATTTTCGGCCAATTCCAGTGTACTAGTCGACAAAAATCATAACTATTTCGCTAGAACTCCATTTTTTCTATCGAATGAGTACAAGAAACCACCCATTTACTGATTTCAACTATCTAATACAGTGGTCAGAATTTAGCAATTTTGCCAATTTCACACAAATTTCAAAAGATGCCAATTTCCAAATAGGGTCCAGAATAAACAAGAAAGACATTCCTGGCACTAAAATAACATTTCCTCTGTTCATTAGTCACACGTCCTCATGCCCCTCTTACATTCTTTTGCTTTCCACTTTGAATTTTTATTCTCACAAAAAATAGAAGATTTACTGTTATGCAGACTACTGCATTAGTGTAGAAATGGTATAAATAATATCGGCGCACTTGTGAAAGAATATTAGACTCACCAGTTGACATGTATTGGACGCTTAGCATGATTTGTTTACTTTTGAACTTTGGTAAAAATCGAATATTTCTTGTACTTTGAGCACAATTTCAAGGTACTTTTCTTTGTAAAACCAGTCAAAATCATCTCAATTTCTGTAATATGTCTGCCATTCTATAAAATGAGACCAGGAAACTAGAATACAACAATAAATACCATACGAAAATACAGTGCAAAGTCGCTGTTTTAATCCAAAAACACGGTCAAAGTTTTTTTTTTTCTCATTACGCACTGTGTGCTGCAGGATTTTTTTTATACTGCGCACACTGACCACATAGACCCATTCTTTCATATGTAAGCCTACCAGCTTTCTCTCACTAGATTTGAGGGTGCTAGAATTTAGGCGTACTAGTACGTCAAAAACCCCGGTGCGTAAGCCATACTAGTACGTCCGAAACCCTGAAATGGTTAATAACATAGAAACATGATATATACTCTAGAATGAATAAAATGTGTCATAATGTATGAGAGGAGTAAATAGTGTAAGTGTTGTTGTTGGGTTTAAGGGTTGCCACTGAGAGAAGCCGTGTTGGTGGCGGTGGAGGCTTTAGCCACCACCAACAATGTATGTAATTTATAAATAAGAAATATTTACATTTTAATTTATAAATAAGTAAGTTTATTCAGGTATACACAAATACAGTTACATACATAGATTATCATACATAGCAGCATATGTGTAAAGTACCCAGGATAACCCAAAAAATTCAAGAGTGACATATTTCCATTGGTGTCCTTTTATATTTACACTTATATGTATTTACTTTTATACTTACACTTTCATATTTATACTTACCTTGGAGGAGATGTTAGTTTAATTAATTAACCATCTCAGACCACTAATTACCCAACAAAAGGCTGCAGTTAGAATGATAACAAATTCTCACTACAGGCAGCACACTCCACCAGTATTCAAAACACTCAACCTACTCACCATACAAAACATCCATACTTATTACTGCACCTATTACATACATAGAACACTTAACTCTGATATTAACCCTCCCCTCAAACATCTCCTTGCCAACCTCAACAGGACACATGACCATAACACAAGGCACAGATCAATCACTCTTTGATGTTCCTCGTGTCCATCTCACGCTATGCAAAAACTCAATGCACATAAAAGGCCCTAAAATCTGGAATTCATTACCTGTAAATATAAAAGAAACACTACCTGTTTATAAATTCAAGTCTCTTCTCAAAGATCACTTACTCACTCAAAACCAAATAAATACTGAATAACTGAACCTTATAAATTGTATATCCTATATGTTACTCACAATTATATCACACAAATGTTAAACCTAGGACCCAATCTTTGTTATTTTTTTAAATACACTACCTAACAGAATACTCCATTCGACTGAATGTACAGCAATGCATGCAGCCATATGACCTGTCTTTGTAATACTCATTTGTGCTTTATAGTTATATGTTTACAATAATGTTTTATCACTGATTTCATCATTGCTTAGTTAATCTTAAGTTAATTTTAAGCCAGCCCGTAATGCTATGCATATAAGTGACTTTGGCATGCTGCTCTTACCTGTATTTTTTTGTACCTCTGTATGTATGCTAAAATTACTAAATAAATAAATAAGGAGATGTTGGCAGAGGTTTAGGGTGGTGGAAGATAACAGGGTGGTGTATGTTCTGCGATCCTATACACATCCAACAACATTGGAGAGTTACTCTCATGTTGCTTTTCTATTGCTTACTCGCTTAACTTACTTGCTACACTGTTAATTCTACACTTTATCACTGGCTGGAGCTATAGCCTTTATCGATACCTGCTGTTTTAGTATCATACATATTGTAGAATCACTGCAGAAGGCACATTCTCTTCCTCCTCTACTGTAGTACTTTGCTATGAGTTTTTTCTTGAATTCTATCGCGTTTCTCACCTTTACCAAAGGGCTGGCACTAGGAGCTTTCTTTGGGCCCATGGTAGCTTATTTAGCGGTTGCAAGCACAAAAAACAATGAATTATTATGGAATGTGTTGTATGAACCCGTGGGTGATGGTCACATGCTGGTAAACAATGGCACACTGAGTGTGAATAGTGCGGGAGACTGGCTTTGTGTGTGCACTGATGGGCAGACGCGTACCAGAAGGTTGCCGAATCACGAGTCCAATCACGAACCATGAAGCTAAATTTTGCCGAAAGTCGGATTTCACGAAAGTCGTGGCCGCCAAACGGCGGGGGTCCACTGTACTCTAGAATGAATAAAATGTCATTATGTGACAAGTGGAGGTGGCCATAACCACTCCCACATTGTTGTGGTATTCACTGCCATCTAGTGACGTCCTTTTGAAACCGTCTATTATTATAATTATTATTATAGTACATGTAAGGCAGCTGGGATTGATGAGATAAAGATATAAATGTTAAAAGCAGGAGGGGATTTAGTTTCAGAGTGGTTGGTGCTGTTATTTAATAAATGTATGGAAGAGGGTAAGGTATCTAGGGATTGGCAGAGAGCATGCATAGGGGATAAAAGAGAGTGCAAAAATTATAGGGGAATAAGTCTGTTGAGTATACCTGGTAAAGTGTATGGTAGTTATTATTGAAAGAATTAAGAGTAGGATAGCAGATGAACAAGGAGGCTTTAGGAAAGGTACGGGGTGTGTAGACCAAGTGTTTACAATGAAACATATAGGTGAACAGTATTTAGATGAAGGTAAAGAGGTTTTTGTGGCATTTATGGATTTGGAAAAGGCATATGACAGGGTGGATAGGGGGCAATGTGGCAGATGTTGCAGGTGTATGGTATAGGAGGCAGGTTACTGAAAGCAGTGAAGAGTTTTTACGAGGATAGTGAGGCTCAGGTTAGAGTATGTATGAGAGAGGGAGATTATTTCCCAGTAAAAGTAGGCCTTAGACAAGAATGTGTGATGTCACCATGGTTGTTCAATATATTTATAGATGGGGTTGTAAGAGAAGTGAATGCTAGGGTCCTGGCAAAAGGTGTGGAGTTAAATGATAAAGAATCAAACACAAAGTGGGAGTTGTCACAGTTGCTCTTTGCTGATGACACTGTGCTTTTGGGAGATTCAGAAGAGAAGTTGCAGAGGTCCGTGGATGAGTTTGGTATAGGGTATGTAAAAGAAGAAAATTAAAAGTGAATATAGGAAAGAGTAAGGTTATGAGGATAAAAAGATTAGGTGACAAAAGATTGGATATCAGATTGGAGAGAGTATGGAGGAGGTGAATGTATTCAGATATTTAGGACTGGATGTGTCAGCAGATGGGTCTATGAAGGATGAGGTGAATCATAGAACTGATGAGGGGAAAAGGGTGAGTGGTGCTCTTACGAGTCTGTGGAGACAAAGAACTTTGTCCGTGGAAGCTAAGAGGGGAGTGTATGAGAGTATAGTTGTACCAACACTCTTGTATGGGTGTGAAGCATGGGTGATGAATGCTGCAGCGAGGAGAAGGCTGGAGGCAGTGGAGATTTCATGTCTGAGGGCAATGTGTGGTGTGAATATGATGCAGAGAATTCGTAGTTTGGAAATTAGGAGAAGGTGTGGGATTACCAAAACTATTATCCAGTGGGCTGAGGAAGGTTTGTTGAGGTGGATCGGACATGTAGAGAGAATGGAACAAAACAGAATGACTTCAAGAGTGTATAAATCTGTAGTGGAGGGAAGGCAGGGTAGGGGTCAGCCTAGGAAGGGTTGGAGGGAGGAGGTAAAGGAGGCTTTGTCTGCGAGGGGCTTGGACTTCCAGCAAGTGTGCGTGAGCGTATTTGATAGGAGTGAATGGAGACAAATGGTTTTTAATGCTTGACGTGCTGTTGGAGTGTGTGCAAAGTAACATTTATGAAGGGAGTCAGGGAAACCGGCAGGCCAGACTTGAGTCCTGGAGACGGGAAGTACAGTGTCTACACTCTGAAGGAGGGGTGTTAATGTTGCAGTTTTATAACTGTAGTGTAAAGCACCCCTCTGACAAGACAGTGATGGAGTGAATGATGATGAAAGTTTTTCTTTTTTGGGCCACCCTGCCTTGGTGGGAATCGCCGATGTGTTAATAAAAACAGAAAGTATTATTATACTTCTTTCTTTCTTTCAATACACCAGCCGTATCCCACCGAGGCGGGGTTGCCCAAAAGGAAAAACGAAAGTTTCTCCTTTTACATTTAGTAATATATACAGGAGAAGGGGTTACTAGCCCCTTGCTCCCGTCATTTTAGTCGCCTCTTACAACACGCATGGCTTGCAGAGGAAGAATTCTGTTCCACTATTATTATTATATGTATTATGTTATTATTATAATGGGGAAGCTCTTGTGGGCGGGAGGAGATGGAATACATTGCGGCTAAATTTAGGGAACTGGAACACAGATCCAATTCCCCAGATCAAGAGCCCCTCACCATGTACATACAGTACTACTAATAATAATACTACTTTTCACCTGTCTAGATTTAAGTATTCTATAAGTATTAAGTTAAGTCTGCCCGAAATGCCTTGGCATGATAGTGGCTTTCTTTGCTCCAATGATATTATGATATGTAAAGACACAAAGAAATAAATATTTTATTTATTTATTTAAGGAACCTCCCTTGAGGAGGAAGTACTCATCCTGAAATTTCGTTCATATCCAGAAGCAAAAAATAAACCAAATGACGGTTTGTATCCTGAAAACTTCATGTGGGGGGGGCGTTCATAAGCCGAGGTTCCACTGTATTATTTATTATTAGTAGTATGTACATATTATTGTACTAATTTGTTATTATATTACATTATTATATACTGTAATTATTATATATGTATTATTATTATTATTCTTATAATAATACTCTTCCTTACGATTTGGAATTTTTATTCACACAAAACATAGAAGATATAATGTTATGCAGACTACTGCATTATTGCAGTAATTGTATAAATAATCTCAACCCATTCATGACTGCATTATTTGGAATGGCCACTGAGACAGGTATTGTGTACTCTTCAACATCAGCAAAAATCGAACATTTCTGCTACTTTGAGCTCAATTTCAGGGTACTTTTTGTCATGAAATCAATCAAAATCATGTCTATTTTTGTAATATATCTTCCATCCTATCAAATGAGACCAAAAAAAATGAGAATACAACTATGAAAACCATACGAAAATATACCGCTAAGGGGCTGCTGATGGCTGAGAAGTGAACTCTGTTATTTATGGTCCGATTTCTTTCAATTTTGGTGTACATTAAGAAGCATCTTTCCATCATACCTTGCCCAAGTTTCAGTAAGATAGTCCAACAAACAAATGAGATCAAATTCCCTAGATCAAGAGCAAGAACCCCTCACCAACGTCAAGGAACCTCCCTTGAGGCCTGCTCGCATGTGGAAATTTTGCTCGCATCTGGAAGCAAAATATCGACTGAGCGACTGCTCGTATCTGGAAAAACTCGCACGTGGGTGCACTTGTAAGTAGAGGTTCCACTGTATTGTGATCACCACATGACTTATCAAGGTTTTATTGGATAATAGCTTTTTCTTTTTTCTTATTAAACACCCTAAAGGTCAACTATTAATTACTTTATAGGTATTTTGGTTAACTCAGCGTCTGGGTCGGTTATGGCTGCACGATATTGGTAGTGTGAGAAGTGAGGAACTGACAAGTTTAGAAACTCAGTATACACAAGTACACAGGTACCTTGTGAACTACCTAACTACGCTGGTCACCGTGTGCTTCATGCCACACAGTAAGTTAACTAATTGTACTCCTTGGTGTATATTAAATGTTGGATTTAACAAGCTAACAGGGGAGAGGAGTGGGAGGCCAGTAATGCAACTCTGGTGGATAAAGATGAAATTATTCAGTGATCATAACAGTAACGAACAATTTTATAACCAACAGACTTTATCCATTGTTTTCCACTAAGTTGAGTCAATGGACTTTGTTCTACATTTCCAAAATCCATTAAAGAAAGGTCCATTAACTTAAAGGTTGACTGTTAATTATCTTTCCTTCCAATAATGGTGGCCACAAGTTTCCTTCCTTATAATGATGGTGGCCACAAGTTTCCTTCCTTATAATGATGGTGGCCAAAGTTCCTTCCTTATAATGATGATGGCCACAAGTTTCCTTCCTTATAATGATGGTGGCCACAAGTTTCCTTCCATATAATGAGAGTGGCCACAAGTTCCTACCTTATAATGATGGCCACAAGTTTCCTTCCTTATAATGATGGTGGCCACACATTTCCTTATAATGGTGGCCATAAGTTTCCTTCCTTATAATGATGGTGGCCACAAGTTTCCTTCCTTATAATAATGGTGGCCACAAGTTTCCTTCCTTATAATGATGGTGGCCACAAGTTTCCTTCCTTATAATGATGGTGGCCACAAGTTCCTTAGGATGATGGTGGCCACATGTTTCCTTCCTTATAATGATGGCCACAAATTTTCTTCCTTATAATGATGTTGGCCACAAGTTCCTTAGGATGATGGTGGCCACATGTTTCCTTCCTTATAATGATGGCCACAAGTTTTCTTCCTTATAATGATGTTGGCCACAAGTTTCCTTCCTTATAATGATGGTGGCCACACATTTCCTTCCTTATAATGATGGTGGCCACACATTTCCTTCCTTATAATTGTGGTGGCCACAGGTTCCTTTCTTATAATGATGGTGGCCGTGACACATTTCTTTATAATGCTAGTGACCTAACACATTTCACTTCATGTGGAAAAGGGCACTTGTGTATAGTTCAGGATTATGGAGAACTAGTTAGATAAGTACACTTTCCTGCAGGAAACAACATATAGCAATCACTACTTATCTATAGCAGCACGATGTCCAGCAGCCTTCCCCTGGCTATCCCTTCGGGGTGCTGTTCTAGTTACCACCTGGGCTGTGGATGAATAAGTGGTTATATATGTAATTTGCCCCAGAGGAGCATATATCTCAGCATTTCAATATAATATAAAATACTTGGTAAGTAGTACTCATTTGGTTTGAGCTTAACCCTTTGACTGTCACAACCCCAAATCCTAAGGTGCCTCCTAGTGTCGGAAAATTTTTGAAAAAGAAAAAAAAATTTTCTTATGAAATAATAGAGAATCTTTTCCTGATGATAATGACACCAGAAGAACGAAATTTGATGGAAAACTTACAGAATTACGCTCTCGCGAAGTTAGCGACCTCAATGGTATTTACGAATCAGTGATTTTGCCCACTTTGAGCCCTATTTTTGGCTAATTCCATTGTTCCAGTCGACCAGACTTATAGCTAGTTCTTTAGAACTCCATTTCTTTTATCGATTGAGTACAAGAAACTGCCTATTTACCAATCTCAACTACCCAATAACCTGATCAGAAATTTGCAATTTGGCCAATTTCACGCAAATTAAAAAATATGCCAATTTCAAAATAGGGTCCAGAATGAGCAATTCAGACATTCCTGGCTCTAAAATACCATTTTCTTTGTTCATCAGTCATGTCTCCAGGCCCCTCTGATATTACTCTTGCTTTCTATTTTGAATTTTTATTCAAACAAAAAATTGAAGATTTACTATCATGCAAACTACTGCAATATTGTAATAATTGTATAAATAATGTCAACCCATTCATGATTGCATATTAGAATGGCTAGTTGGACATTTATTGGATAATGACATTTGTTTACTGTGGAACATCGGCAAAAATCAAACATTTCCCCTACTTTGAGCTCCATTTCAAGGTTCTTTTCATAGTAAAACTAATCAAAATCACCTCCTTTACTATATGTTTTCCATTCTATCAAATGAGACCAAGAAAATGAGAATACAACCATAAATACTATATGAAAATACACCATAAAGTCGGCATTTTAATAAAAAAAAACATGGTCGGTGTTTTTTTTCTCATTATGCACTGCGTGCTGCAGGATTTTTTTTGTATGGTGCTCACTGACCACACAGACCCATTCTCTCACATGTGGGCCTACCAGCTTTCTCCTGCTAGATTTGAAGCCGTTAGAATTTTTGAGTATATATATGTCAAACACAGTGGCTTGTAAGACATACGTATATATATGACCGAAACAGTCAAAGGGTTAAAGCCCGTGGATAATGATTTGGAAAAGTACAGCCCTAATCATCTTGTGTCTGCCCATGGAATGTAGTACATAATTTGCATTACAAGAGATTAAGACTTACCTTGCTCATGTAACACGAACTTATAGCATTGAAAGTGCCATTTAAGGCTGATATCAGTGACTTG